CACTGTGATGGTGCTCACCGGGGTTTTAGGATGAGGGAAGAGATGAGGATCTGACCCCATGTTTTAGAAGGCTTGATTTATTATTTTATGATATATATTACATTAAAACTATATTAAAAGAGTAGAAGAAAGGATTTAATCAGAAGGCTAGCTAAGAGAAAAAGAAGGAATGGAATGATAACAAAGGCTTGTGTCTCGGACAGAGAGTCTGAACCAGCTGACTTTGATTGGCCATTAATTAGAAACAACCAACATGAGACCAATCCTAGATGCACCTGTTGCATTCCACAGCAGCAGATAATCAATGTTTACATTTTGTTCCTGAGGCCTCTCAGCTTCTCAGGAGGAAAAATCCTAAGGACAGGATTTTTGATAAAATTGAGACGCAGAACTCAATACTCCAAACACAGTGGCTCCATACCTAAAATTCCCACTTTACAATAAATTCACCACAAATACAGGCAACCACTTTGCAGGTTATGTTATTGAGGGTGTGATTGACTTCAGCTGGATTTGCCTGTTGTCTATCATTCCTCAAAAACACCTCTCACTTCAGAACTCATTGGACTTCAGTGAAAAGGCTGTCAGAGAGAAATCCTGGCCTGTTCCAGCACCGGTGTGGCCAGCAGGATTATTTCCAAATCACGAATTCTGTGATTCTGTGATAACACTTCACCTTTTTTGTAAAACCTTTTTTGTTTCACAGAGTGTCCAACAAGTGGATAATTAATTAAGAGCTGACTGTCCTTGCCAACAACTTGAAAAATCAGAGGAGAACAAGACTTTGAGCTTCTTTTACCATCAGGCAGATATTAAAAAAAGTTGTCAAGGTTAAATTTGGGTAAGGACCAAGAAGGGGCAGAAGGTCATGGCATATCCATCCCCTGTGCTAACACTGCTGAGGCACCTCGGGATCATCTCTGGGTTCCTGAGGATAACAAAGTCATTGAGGGGCTGGAGTGTGTCCAGGAAGGGAACAGAATTGGGCAAGGGGCTGGTACAGAACTGAGTCTGGCACTGGGAACACTTCCACTGTGGCAAGGCACTGGAAATGGCCCACCCCAGATTGTTGGGAATACAGTGGGTGCAGCAAAAACCAGGATTTATCCCATAAGAAAACTTTTCAGGAGTGCAGTATGATGCTGAAAGAAATGATAAATACATTGCTCTAGCATGGGAAAAAGTTGTGAGTTCACACACACCAGTGATTTTTCTTTTTCCCCCGGGAATGAGAAATACAAATAAATACATGTACAGGAGAAAGGCAGTCAGCCCTAGTTTACTCCTTCAAAACCACTTAAGTGAAATTCCTTACAAATAAATACATGTACAGGAGAAAGGCAGCGAGCCCTAGTTTGCTCCTTCAAAACTACTTAAGTGAAATTCCTTACAAAAACGTGTACTTTTGAAGGGATTTGCTCAGGTGGAGTGTTTTCATGGCTGCCACAGCAGCTCTGCGGTGTTGGAGCATCTTTTCCATCCTTGTGCTCTCTTCCCAAGGATGGGGCCCCGCTGCCCTCCAGTGGCAGCAGCCACCAGAACAGATCCGCGTTTTCCTCTGCTTTTAGCCCCTTTAGGCCCAGATACTCAGTGAAATTATAACTCTAAATAAAGTTATTTCCAGGGAAGGGGAGATCCGCCAGGGCAGCAGAACCACGTTCTGTGAAGGAAGATTAACGCTGAGCCTCCAGCCCAAAGGGATTTCACTGCACACCCTGTTTGTTTTCTAGGAGCAGATTTTGATAGATTTCTTTAAGATGTTCTGGGGAGCAGCTTTGTCCTTCCAAGACCACAAAGGTCAGCCCTGCTGTCATCACTGCTGGCACACAGGATTTTCCCTCTGCATGACCTCCTTGGGGCCTCACCTGTTTCATAAAGGAGACTGAGGAATGCTGAAAAAGCAAATCTTGATGCTTCTTAAAAATGAAAGATTTTTGCATTCAGCCATGTTCCTTCCATGTCACCTTCCATCCCTATATCAGGGCTCCAAACAGAGCTGTACTGTGCCATGAAAATAAGAAAAGCGTTTATGAAAAGAAAGAATTTATGTTCATTTTTAATTCAACTAAGAAAATTCAGCTTTGTTTTTTTCTCTCTGTAGCTGAGTCCCTTCTCCCTGACAGGACAAAATGAGGCAGAGCTGGAGGCATCCTTTAGGATCTCAGAGGCCATGGTGGTGTTGACCATGACCCAATGTCAGAGAGAACACTGGAGGCTCTTTTCTTGCTCTGGGGGCTACAAGTCAGACACAGAGGGGTGCAGATCTGAAACATCCTGAGGGATCTGCTCCCAGGTTAAAGAGAAGTCAGGAAAATGAGAAAAACTGCTTCTTACATGAGTAATTTTGGCAAACAAAGAGAATTTGTTTGAGGCTTGCCTGCCACTTCTAGGATGCTAATCTTTTGGCACAATCCTCACACCAATTAATCAGGTTAATATGGTTGTAAATTGGAAAATGTCCTAATGGGTGGCATGAGAATCCTTACCAAACAGCCTAATCCCCAAAAGTAAATCACTGCTTCCTGGAACAGCCACACCACCAACACAGGGCCACAAGGGTGCCCAGGGAGTGTTTGGGAAGATCTCAGTCTGGAACAGCTCCCTGAGCTGGATCTCCTCATCCGGATGTCTGGATGTACCCTGAGAAAGGAAAATCCTCACTAAATCCCTTCCTTGGCATCCACCTGGAAGGTCAGGGGGGGGCATCAGGTTGCACAGAACCCATTGGGTATAAATTGTGCAGCTGTGCTGGGCTAGAACAGACTGCCCCCAACAACCATGGACCTTCACGTGCGTCTCACCTGGCTGCTTCTGCTGAGCTCCACTCTCCTGGCCCAACCAGGTACGCCTTGAAAACCTCTTTGATTTTACAGAACTGTTACTGAATTATTTCTGAAATGTTACAGAGTTATTTACTAATACAGGCTGGCTTGCTGGGAAGTGGTGGCAAAGATTCTCCTCGAATATTGCTGACGAATTTTATACCGTAGAATTGACGGTTTGTCTTCTACTTCAACGATTCAGTCCAAATCCATAGGTTGTATTTCAAAATGCATCTCAAAATGTGTGCATTTAAAAATATGTATGCATTTCAAAATACATAATACAATTTATATAATATATGAAATATTATATTAAGATACTGTATTTTGAAATATAACCTTCATATTTCTAAATACAGACTGAAGAAGGCTGAAGAATATTCCTTTGTGTCTTTTTCACAAGGGAAATAGCTTGTGGAAGTTGTTTTCTAAATGTTCTTCATCCAATTTTCTAGTTTTAGTTGAAATTATTCTATACTGTACATTTTAAAATGTAGAGAAAGAGGGGGAAATAAACACAGAGCAGTCTGCCAGGCCCAGGTGGAAATATGCTCTCCATGACATGTTCCTTCAAACTTATTATCTTGTTAGTTTGAATGGGATAATTTTAACTTTATTTATCACCACAGGCACCATGAAAAAAGTCTTGCCAACCACTTACAAAAAGAGGTGGTTTCACAGAAGGATCAAGGGCTGGGTGTATTGAATCATTTACAAACCAAGAGTGTGATGTGTTACTTCAGGGCTAATACATTTCCTTCTCTGCCACAGCAAGTGGAGCCTGGTGGGACCAGGCACAGACAGACCTAAACTCAATATGGGAAAAATTTGCCGAGTGGATTAAAGAAAAATTGGAGCCCAAAGGTAAGAGATGTGCTCCTGAGAGTGAACGTGCCTGGCAGATGTGCAGAGCTCCCCAAGCCAGCTGTGGTGAGCTGTGCCTCAGCAGCACAGCCAGCCATCCCCCACCAGGGTAGACCAGGCCCTGCAGGCAGCAGAATCTGTGGAGATTCAAATTTAAACACCAGAAATTTCGCTATAAATAAACAAATTGAGATTTAACCTGCCAAATTTTTCCTTAGTTCCACCACAACCACAGCTGAGAGTGGAATCTGGAGGGCACGGATGCACAGGGAGGGTTGAGGTTTATAATGATGGAAAATGGGGCACGGTCTGTGATGGTTGTTTCAATATGAACAGTGCCAACGTTGTGTACAGACACAGCTTCACTGTGAGCAAGCTGTCTGTGTCCTGGGACTGTCTTACTTTGGCCAGAGTGGAAAAGTTATCCACTTGGATGATGGGCAGGGTAGAGGAGGTGAATCCCACCTTTGGGAGTGGTGGCATGCCAGCTGGGGCAAGCACAACTGTGCCCTCAATGAGGATGTTGGTATCATCTGCTCACGTAAAGATAAAAATTATAATGAAAATAAAATAAGAAAAATAAGAAAAACCTCCCTGGACTATGCTGTTCGCTGTAAATGCAAGAAACATCAGGGTAGAGCTTGGAAATCAGGCCAGGGCTGAAAAGTGGAGGTGAGGTGCTTCTTCTGTTTAAGTCTGAGTGATTGAGGAGCAAAAGGATGCCTTGCACAAAATAACAAAATAGGACAGCAAGCCCTGGGTATGAAAATAGTGAAAAGCAGGTAGTTCAGGACCAGTTTAGCCAACAACTTACAGCCAACCCACACGACAATAAAGAGTAAGGAGAAAATAGAGGTCCATCCAGTTGTGAAGCATGTGTGAGTGGAAACAAAAATAATTCTTGTCATAAATATATAATATAAATAACTGCCCAATAAAGTAAACTCTTGCTCTTTTTTTGCTGTTCACAGATGCAGTGCAGTCCACTGTTGCACCAACAGGTAAGGCTGAGCTTTTGGGACAAGACTCCCAAAATTAGCTCTGGAAAGGGTCTCCCCAGTGCTCAGAGCCTAATTTTTAATTCAAAAAATAATGTGATTACAGCTCCTTGGAAGACAGTTTTCTAGAAAGCACATACTCTGAATTACAAGTTATTGCTCTAAATTACTATTTATTCACCCACTGCAAAATTATTTCTTTCTATTTTCATTATTTCTTGGCACTGCTAGTACAAACTGTATTTACCACTTACCTACTAATAATTAGTGAAAACATGAGGCAAGTCTTTACCCTCCAGGTATAAGTTTCTGATTCTTTTTTTTTTTCTGAAATAATCATAATATCCTGAAAACCTGAAAGTACAGACTGTATTACTGTTTCTTGGGATTTCTAGGTGTTAATTATGCTCTTCATAATCCACAGAAGAGCAAGTGTTAAAATGCATTTTTCTACCGTATAGAATCACGAGTGTATGTTTTATTATATGCAACACAGAAATCAAAAGCTGGTTCCCGAAACCATTTTTCCTTAAGGTTTTAACACAGGTTTTATTGCTGCTTGCAGCCACTTAATTTCTCACTCTTTCAGCCTCCCTGCCTTCCACCACCACCGCAGAGGAGAGCAGGACATCAGAAATCCCAGTTACACCACAGACAGGTTGAGGGCGTTTACAGAACATGCAGCAGGTCAGATAGACGTGGTTGGGACAGGACTTCAGTGGAGAAGCCAAAAAATGCTGCCAAATGAGCATCTCTCAGTGCAGCTCGTGTTTGTCCATGGATGTGGTGCCAGCAGGCAGGCGGGAGCTGTGAGTGCTGTGGGCAGAGCCTGCCTTGAGGATGGAGCGCATTTTGAGCTCAGAGGAATCTGAAAGCATTTAAATTCATCAAGAGCTGATTCCAGCCTTACCTGAGCGCTCTTTCTCTCTTGTTCCCACGTTTCTTCCTTTCTCTCACAGCCTTTGCAAGTACTTCAGCCCCAAACCTGATACCTGCTGCGCTGGAAGCAGATGTGACAACCCCGGCTGCAGAAATCCTTTCCACACGGGCCGGAGGTGAGATACAGGCACAATGCCATAAAGTCTAATTGCAGTCTAATTGAGTTTGATCAAAATGGATTACATTGATAGGATTAAAGTAAATTAACGAACCTCAAAATCAGTCAACTGCTGGCTCATTGTCTCAGTGAAGAGTTGGGGAGAGAGGCTGAACCAGGCAGTGTTTAAAGGATGGGAAAAAACAAACCCAAGCCATATCCCTTGAATTACAAGGTATCCCAGAAAAATTAGGCTCTATCACTGTTCTAAGCCCTGATTTCCTACAAACAGGAAATGCTGTAGGTCTCAGAGGAGAAGTATATAGTTAAAATGCAGACAATATTTAATTTCACCTTTTTGTTCTGTATTAAGTAAAACAGCATTACTCTGCTGCTTATGCTATGGGTCTTG